AGTAGTCTATACAATCTCTCATATATATGCTACCTAAAAATACATTTCTACAAGATTAATTTAATAAATTTAATTTCTCTAAAAATACTCAAGAATTAATTAAATGAACGAAACAAACCATAAATATAAGCTTAGGTCATTTAATTTCAGGCCATGACTTCACAGAGGTCTCTGTAACACTGATATATGAGATATCATGTTCACTTATATTTTCAGTTTTTTATAGAAACTCAACGTCTTGCTGCCTGCAACAGAATAGTTCAAATCAATGATTCGAAAAATACTGACCCTCACCTTCCAAGCCAGTGGTTATGACTCCTAATATCAGTTTGCAGGCCTGGGAAATGATCGTCGTTTCAGTTTGATTCACAGTGTGTATCCACCCACAGAATGTAGCCACATCAACAAGTAGCACATTATCAATAAGTGTCATATTTGGCCACCATATAAAGTCACTTTTATAATACTTACACCCTTGTATTCTTAGAAGTGGTTCATTCAAGACAGAGTTCTGATGCAGTGGTGAGAAATGGCAATACAACTGAGATGCAAAGTTTACCTGTCCTGGGAGTGATGGGCAGAGCTAATACCTTAATTCACTAAGGCTAACTGGCGCTATAAAGAAAGTCTTGCTTTATTTTAAAGACCCAACTGAAATATAAAGGCTGAGGCAAGTATTTTGCCTTACAAATTTATTTGTTCCTCATTTATCCCTATTTCCACATAACTGGAAAGAACAACAGGTTTGTACTGAACAAGGCTTTGAATGGAAATTATTCATGTCTGTAAGGGCAGCACTGCCACCTGGTGTTGCAGATGAGTCAATTTAGGCATTGTGAATCTTTCTAACAAAAAAAAGAAATTTCCTATCTCACCTGGATTCTGCCATCCCCTAGGATTCTGGTTTCCTTTGTACTTCATTTTTAATAAGTGGAATCCAAATTACATCTAGACAGGTATGTTCCTACCAACAAATAATTTGCAAATTCGAAATTAACACATTTTCAATTCCTATCTTCCTGAACAAAAGCTTTTCGGTACACAAAATCTAGTCTTGCTCTTTCCATACATTTTTCAGTAGTGAAGTTTGTTAAACTCATTCAGACCTGGATTCTAAACTGAGATTACGGAGAAGACAATAAAGCATGGACACAGTACATGAGTTTGTGTCTGTGATAGCACATCATTGCAGCAGAGAAATGGAACTGGCTCTAAATCAAGAAAGTACTTATTTTGCCTTTAAAAGTATCCTCACAACATGGTTTTGAATAACAACAGTTCTGAAACAACGTTTGAAACACAAAAATAAAAGAGCATTTCCTCAGCACAACAAACTCACTCTCTCTATAATCACCAGTTAGTACAGACAAGATTGTATGTGCAACCATACAACTGACAGCTACAAAGCAGACGTCTGCAGGGCTGTCTCCTCTCTGAAAATGCTAATACAGCTGACACTGTGTTAACTTGTTTTCTCTTTTCTGAGAACACAAAATGAAAATGCAAAGCAGTTCTTTGAAAATCATGGAATAGACATCTGCTTTGGCTCAAGACCATCAGCAGAAGAGCAGCAAGAACTGTGCCTGCCAAACAGCCACAGAAGGTCTTGCCAGGCCTGGAGAAAGCCAAACATGGACTGTACCAGCACCAGCACAGTTTTTTCTACAGTGGATTTCTATTGGCTATGACATCTGTCAAAATAAGAAACCACTTCCACCTGGAAGTGACTAGTTCAAATGCATCCCAGGACACAAATCTGTGGCTCCAGCCCAAAATACACTGCATGAGCAGTCCTACTGACAGCAAAGTGTAACAAGGTATTAACAACAGTCTCAGCAGGATGCAAGCTGCAGGCATGAGGACCCACTCACTGGCTGTCTCTCATCCATGTACAGTACATGTTTACAATTCCCACCTAAATGCTCATAGGCAAAAAAAAGAAACAAATTAGTGCATAAAACACTTCAGTATGATCATTTTTCTGTCCTTCTGCCTGACAAAAGCCCCTGAATTACACTGATGATTCTTCTTTCAGCCTCATAAGCTGTGTTGCAATTAACAATCACAGTTCAAGGGTCCAGTAATGAAAGCAGACTATGAATTAAGGAGTCTCCAAAACACCTGTGGTACAAAATTAAAAGGAAAAAAAATAAAATCTATCTTTAGCATGGAAAAATGCTTTGCAAGATCCTTTGTATTTAACGTAGTCACCAAAAATGACAGTGGAATGTCATTTCAAATGCAATCTAGAAAAATAATTTAGCTATAAAATCTGCACAGGAGATCTCAGTACTATGTGCAGATACAGTCAAAAAATTTAGCTTAATTCCCCATCCCCTCCTAAAAAAATCTATAATTCAAGAAGAAACTGCAAAACCCTGAGTAAAACATCCTCCTTAAAAAATGTTCTTAAATACGATTGTCCTGTAATACGTACAGAATAGCTTTTTTTCACTGCAGTACTGTCAAAAAAATGTCAATGAAGACATCAGTCAGAGAGAGTCATACACTTTGGATTTTGTGAAAGAAAAAAAATCAGCTTGTAGAAACTGAACATTAAATAAACAGGCAAATTTTAACTTTTTTCTGCACTACAGCTTTTAATACTTATGACAAACTTTTAACATATTGACTGCTTTTTGACACAGAAGCTCAGAAGCATATTGTTTCATAGCCTTTTTATTTTGAAGGGTTTACAGATGTTAAGGTAAGCAAAAATGTGCTCAGGTTGCAGTTAATTAAACAAAGTAGAGGGAAGAAACAAACTTTTCTCACCCAGGCTATGCTCCTCTTTTTTTCTCTTTTCCCATTTTGAGTTATCCACATAGGCTGAAGAAAGAAGAGATCTTCGACCTAAAGAAGAGAGAAATCACTGTGTAAGGTGGGTTGCTTAAACAGCTCTAAACAAACATTTTATTAGGTACCACCTTCTTCTGTCATATTCACCAATGGGATGCATTAAACTGTCTTTCTGTCAGTAGCTGCTACCATAACAATTCAGATCCTTTATATGTGGATCAGATATTACACTGCAATATTTAAAACCGAAAAGCTTACCCCAAGGTTTTTACCCAGCATGAAACAAGTATTTCCAAACCCAAACTCTGCATTCAAGAAAACAGCAAATTTGTAAAGGTAGAAAAGACCTCAACAATAAAAGCAACTTCTTTGTGCACAGAGACCTTTTTCATCAAAAGCAAAGCAAAAAAGCAAAGCATAAGCAAAAAAAATGGCTCCACACAAATAGGCTTTTCTGTTGTTGCTGAATGGCTATAATTTCCACCTATAAAAGCATGTCTCACTGAAAATGCTTTCATTTTTATAATCTCTATTCTTTCATTTTCCTATGAAACTGCAGACTCACTGAAATATTTCTGAAAGCTTTTTCCAAACACTCTTTGTACCACCAAAACCGCTCAAGATGCTGTGCTAGCTTTTGAAACAAAAAAGAAAATGCTTCAGCTGGAAGAATTTGTGTATCAGTCATATATTATTAGGTCCTGAAAATGCATGAGGAACACCTGGATAAAATTTGTTGAAGGAAGATAAAATAGATGTAGAAGGCTGCAGGAAGCAATGTGATTAAACACTTTAAAAATAGACACTATAACGCCACATAGAAATCTTAGCAACTACTTCAAAGCCTTGATCTAAATATCTACCTGCTAGCATTGAAAGTTTCATTTCGGTTGTGAAACATTCTTCCTTCTTATCACCCTTCTGACACACAATTATGCCCACACATCCAGCACTGAATGCCTCGGGAAACTCGTCAAAAATACTCAGAGCACAGGACTCCACAGTTAAGACTTCAAAAATATGAAAGTATGTACAACTATATCAAACAGAAAATTAAAGAAAAAAAAAGGGGGCATTTCTAGTTGGTTGGTGGCGTTCCCTTTAGCAATCTTTTTCATTATGTTGATAAAAGAGGCACACAAAAGATCCGGGGGGTTTGGTGTGGCGGGTTTTGGGTCTTTTATTGTCGGCTTTTTCCTTCAGCATAAACAAAAAGGCATTCATTCATTCATTCATTCACAGCTAAGGAGGCCACTAGGAAGCACGAGGCTTCCCGGGACTGTTTCCCGCAGCACAGGCCCCGCGCGTGCGAGCGCTGCGCTGAGCAGCGCCGAGGCCGGGCCCAGAGCCAGGTCCAGGGCCAGAGCCAGCGCCAGAGCCTGGGCCAGGGCCAAAACCAGGGCTACAGCCAGGGCCAGGGCTACAGCTAGGTCTAGAGCCAGGGCCAGAGCCCGGGCCAAGCTAGAGACAGGCCAGGGCCAAAACCAGGGCTACACGGCCGGGCGGCGCGGCTCCAGCCACTAGCACGCAGCACAGACACACGCTCGGCTAGCACGGAAGGCGCAGCAGCCGCCCATCACCGCCACAGTGTACCCATCGCCACTGGTCTCAGTTCTTCCCAAAGGTCACATCTTTGGCTCTCCCAAAACATCAGCCTTAGCGGCGCCTCTGCCACCGCCGGTACCAGTTTTGCTGAACACGCACTGCCGCGGGTCTGGCAACCTCCCGTACAATTCTGCGTGGCATTCCCTAACGCAAAAAGCAGGTCCTACCATGTCGAGCAATGACATCGGCACGGGGTATTATTTATTAAGAAAACAAATTGCGAACAGTCTCCTGCACTACATACTAGCCATTAAGCGTCTTCTGAGCTACCTCCAATTCGACACGTGCACACGGAGAGAGAGGAAGAGGGAAAGCTGAGTCAAGTCCCTACAGCATCCCGTCCCTGCTCATGCTCCCCACCGCAGCCGGCAGCAACCACAACGACCAGCGCAGCACCCCCGCCCCGCCAGCAGCGCACCGACCTGGGGCCGCGCCGAGGGCGCTCCCGCTGCAGAGCACAGCGCGCCGGAGCACGGGGGCGGCCATGGCGCCGAGGCCGGAGGAGGCGGGCGGCGGCGCGGGGGGAGCTGCGAGCGCCCCGCCCCGCGGGCCCGGCCGTGAGATGGCGGCGGTGCTGGTGGGCGGCTCCGGGCGGGCGGTGCGGGAGGCGGCGCGGCGCTCGGCGGCCCGCTCGCCCGCTTCGGGCGGCTGGGGCTCTGCGTCCGCAGGTACCGCGGGTTGTGCGGCGGGGGTGGGCGCCGGGGTGCCCGGCCGGTGTACGAGGCTTCCCGCTGGCTGGGGAGCTACCGGAGTACTGCAGCTCCCAGCAGGCCCGCCGGGCGCTGCCAGCTGTGTGCCTGACGGGAGCTGTAGTTCCTGCGGGAATGCCCCTCTCGGCTCAGGTGTTGTGTCGGGGAGCTCCGCGGTTTGCGCTGCGGTGGACAGGCCGAGCTGGCGCGGCAGAGGTGCCCCCTGGGCAGAGTCGACGTCACAGAATCGGTGAAGCAATTACATAATGACCTGGATTGGAAGGGACCTTAAATATCATCCTATGCGAACCTCGTGCCGTGGGGACGCCTTCTGCTAGACCACATTGCTCGGAGCCCGTCCAGCTTAGCTCTGAGCACGTCCAGGAATGCTATCCACAGTTTCTCTGAGTAACTCACATCACTGTCCCAGCACCCTGCTGGTAAAGAATTTCTTCCTTGCATCTTACCTAAACCTATTCTCTAATCAAAGCCTTTGACTCCAGTCGAAGGCCATTCCCACATGCTCTTGTGCATGTTCCACTCCAGCTCTCCTGTAGGCCCCACTGAAAGGCTGCAGTAAGGTCACCCCAGAGGTCAGTGTTAGTCAGCATATCTCCTGCTTGCTGCTGTCAGGATATGACATTTTTAAAAAAATAGCCAAACAAATGAACATGCAGCTTCATAAATGTGTATTTATTCTGGGAGGATGACAGCCTTGCCCAAACCCTGGGATTCAGAGGTAAGGAAAAAGGGGCGCATGGAAAAGAGGTGTATGGCAGAGAGCCCCCCAGCCTAGGCGCCAGCTGGGCTCCTGGTCTGCTGTGCCAGCAATGCTGAAAGTTTGGCTCAGGTTACACCTCTCTTATACCCTTCAGAGACATGAAGACCCCTTTCTCTGAGTGGAGCTCTGCCTATCCCCTTGAGGGGCTGGCCATGTAGAGGGTTGCAGTGTGCCTGATGCTAAGCAGGTTTGTTGGTTCTCTGGGATAGGCTGAACCACCTGCATATGCCAGCTCTCATATCCCTCTCTCTCCTTTTTCCTTGGTAGTCCCTTTGGTTTTTGAAACGTTTCTATAACACTGTAAGGTATGAATCTAAGGAAGCAGTACAATTCAGCAAATTTAATTCAAGAAGGATAAAATTCTGCCTCTCTACAGTCTCTGTTGACATTATGACCACTGAGTGTCCATGATGTGTGGTGTGCTAGTCCCACCACAGGCACCAGCATGACTTCTGCACCAGCTTTAGGGAGGCCCATGACAAGGAGGGTCTTTCAGTGCTGGACCAGCAGAGGTCTGTGGGAAGGAAATGGCAGTGTAATGCAGGTCAATTTCATGCTGAATAAAATGTATTTGTTTACCCATTGGCACTGTTTCAATTAAATTTGATGGATAAATGTGCCGCTTAATCGATTTTTTTCTTTAGGTTTTATGAAGTGTGTCATTATCATGCTTCACTTGCTTAGAAAACAAGTGTTTTTATTTACATGGCCAGTTACATTTTCCTAGGGATATGCAGAATGAGAATAAACAACCTAACTCGTTCATACTTGCTCCTGTCCTTTTTCATGGTTACAATAATTCTTTATAAGCCAAAACCTTGAAATATTCTATTGTAACAGTGTAAGCTGTTACAAAGTCAGTAATTGCAAATAAAAATTCTCTAGACACCTGTTTTTGTGACAGCAAAAGCTTGTTAAATGTCTTTTGCATGATGCTTATTTTAAAGGAGCTTGCAACACAATGCAGTTAAAGTCAGCACCCAAAGTTAATTTTGACATTCTAGACTCAATGACTGTCTTATCTCTGATGTCTGTACTGGAGCAGAACATTACGAGGTCTCCCGAGTGTTACTACAATCCAAATAATACTCTTGCTGTTTTTATACATTAAAAAAATTAGCTTTTTGTGTCTTCCTACTGCATTTGGAGCTTACAGAATGATTCATTTTATACTAGCAAGGACTGCATTTGTGGGGTAAGCAGGTTGTGCCACTGGTGAATTGTGGAAAACAAAGGAAAACAAGACAAATCCGTATAAAAGTTTAAAGGAGGGGGCAGGAATTTTGTGCGGAATCTTATTGTACCTTGGCTTAGTGGAGAGGAATTTCACCTCTAGTTTTTCTTTAGTACATCCAATAACTAGATACTTCTTCATCTTTGTCCATAAGCTCTGGAAAAGTGTGACATATTTGGGTTCTTTTGGCAGTAATATGAGTAACTTCAGTTTTTGCAGTCTGTTTTTTGGTGTCATATCCCAATGGTCTGGCATCACACGGTTGTCAGGAATTCCGTACTGTTAAATCATACAGTGTAACATAAAACTCAACCTTCCTCTTTTTTTTCTTATGGCAGGGAAGCGGTATCTGCTAACAGAAGAAGATATAAAGTTACAAGAATTTCAGCAGATGAAAGTGGCAATTAGAAATCAGCTTCATAGTAATAAAGGTATACCATTTATTTCTTAATCACCACTTTAGCATGTCTTAAAGAAACAGTCAAAGTCATAATAGTATGACACCAGTTCACCTCATTTAAAGAAAAAAATTATGTCTTCCTCTTGCAAATATTTTGTACTTAACATTATTGGAAGATCTGAAGCTTAGTAGAATGAAATGTAGTATTAGTTATGCTGTGCTGAGAAGCTTTCATGTATGTAAGGTGTTGACATAAGACCTGAAGTGTTTGTACCTTCACTTTTCCAACTTTGTGAGATGATGTAATAGAACAAACTGTTTCAGTCTAAAAATCTTGCTTCAAGTATAATATCAGCACAGAAAGTTAACACAAAGCTAAGTAGTTACCCTAATATCCAGAATAGGGGCTTTCACAGATTTTTTTTTATTTGCTCCCTAAATTTTGTTAGCGTATTTTTTAAGATTTTTTTTGCCTAATGTGACTTCTCAGTTTTATGCTCAATTCCAAATGATATATGCTACTCAGAACATGAAAAATAAATTCTTGTTTTCCAAATTAATGTAGGAGCAAGATCAATGGATTTTTTCTGATTTTGTCATGCTATTTAAAATGAATACAAATGCCTTTCTTTAAGAAACATAAATATAAACATAAAGCTGCCCTTATTGTTTAAGAAAAGCAAGGTAAAACTCCCTGTTTACCATGCATAAGTGTGTTAGTGATGCAAACTGACAACTGTTCTAAAGGTTGTAGTTAATTTTAAGGCAAGAAGAGACAAATAATCAGATTTAATTTTATATAAACCACTCTTCTCAGATATAGAGGGAAGTAAAATCATCCTGATGTTTTTTCTATATTAAGTAGAATTTAAATTGTGCAGTTGTAAGTCATAATATAATTATATTTTGCTGGAATGATATATTATGATTTATTCATCCTGAACTTGAGAAACGTTGATTTTATTGCAGGGGGTCAATCATTCCTGCTAAAGCAGGTAAGTAGAAGCCAGATACTTTGCTTTGCAGATCACAGTTCACCTTCTGGTTTTGTGCAAACTGTATCCTTTGAAAACTAATGAAAACATTGTTCCAAGCACCTATTTGTCTGTATGTGTGCAGTTTCTGTATTGAGTGTTTGATGTTACACTTGAAAGATGAAAAAAGGTAATTATGGCTAGTAATAAACTTGATTGAGAAAGTTTAGGGAAAAGTAATAATAACTGTTATACAGAATATATAATTACTATTGTTTATTGTTGTTATGAGGCAAGTATTAGCTACAATTATTTTACAGTAGTTACAATAGTTATACTACTAGCTAAAGCAGTTATGCAGTTAGCTGGAATAATGTAAATACAGTTCAGATCCCAAATATTTTTGAAATTTCTGCACACTTTTGAACACATCATAGCCATTATATATGCATAGTTGTACATATGCGTTTGTCTGGCCTCACAGGCTTCAATTCTGCACCTCAGTCTTGAGTAAGGACTTGTATTTGCATGTTGCAACAGATTTGTATTAAGTAACTGTGCATATTGTTCTCTGTGATGCCTGTTTTGCACGTCTTGTACAGGTTACTAGTTTAGGAAGAGCAGTGACCTAGCAACTGCTACAAAAAAGTTAATTTCCCAGCCCAAGATGGTGGTAGCACCATGAGAGGAACTCAGCTGCTAGGTGGTATATGTGGTTTTAATCTTGTGTATATCTGAATCAGAGGCTTGAAATTACCAACTGAAGGACTAGCTTTTGTGCTTGCTTTATCATAGGAAAATGTGCTGCATAGAGAACCCTCTCTTTTGGAGTAGAAAAGTAACAACTCCAAGTTTATGGCTGTTTAAAGAAATAGGTAGATTATGTATGAAAGTCTTTGTGTGTTCATCGGCTGTTAAGGAATTTAAGTCTTCTTTATGTACAATATTGAGTAGAAGTTCTTACAGTCATTTGAATGCTGAGTGGAAATTGTTTTGTTTGCTTGCTTGCTTTTTAGAAAAAGAACAAAGAATGTCACAAAACTTTGTTCCTTAGATGCATTAGCTGATATGCTCTGTAACATATATAGTGAAATTAAGTTCACAGTAAGCATCTCCTTGGTTTTCTAAATCTGACATGACTTCATGGGGACACGTTGGCATGCTTGCCTGTTAGAAGTTTTATGGCGTTTTCTTGGTGAAAAAAACAAAAGTTCTGCTTCATTGAGTCTCCATGTTGCGGGTACCAAGTATGTAACTCAGGTAATGGAATTGCCTATAGACTGCTGCTGTATATGTTTTCTTTTCAGATCAGTATTTTAAAAATATAAAGGAAAAACTAAAGAAAAATGGAATAATTCTCAAAAATGAATTTAAAAATTTGCTGCATTTGTGCCAGACTTCATCTGATGTGGAACTAGCCAGAAAAGTTATTTACAGGTATTTTTAACAGTCCAGGTAACACCCTTTTCTGTCTTTGTCATTTCGCTTTTATTAGATCATCTCAGGTTATATCTGCAGTTGAGGTCTTGCCTTAATTCAGTTGAAATATACATGGTTAATCCCTTAATTTAAAACTGTATTTTTATTTAAATACTTTGGATCTTCCAACCCTTTAGAGACTCTCAGGTCAGAGGAGAGTTAAACTATGGAAGCAAAGTGGTGTCCTATGATATGGTGAACCAAAGAGAAAAGTTATCCCACAGCTGCAAGGCAGAGGTGTTGTGGGGCATTCCAGCCAATACAAGCCTGGTTATAAACTGGCCTGCAACCAGTAGTCATTAGCATGAGATTTTGTGAATGGAGACTTTCCCAGTAAATACGATATAGGGGCTATAAAGAAAAAAGTGAAATGCTTTATCTTTTTGTTGAGGTATTTTAGCAAGTACTGCTGCTAAAATAAACTGCTGCAATTTCCTTTGCTGTTGTTCCATGAATAGAAGGTAAAGTAGCTTGGAATTTTCAAGGCAGAGACCCATTCTATTATTTATCCAATGAGGTTACTTTATTGGTAATAAAAGAGATTATTTATTACCAGTTAATTTATTTGTTTGATCAAAACAATAATTTTCCTTTAAATTAATTTCCTGTTATTTAAATATCTTTGGCCGGTGCAGCTAGGAAAGCTTGCCTCTGTCATTGCGCCTACCCTACATATCTTGCTGTCTATTTAAAGCTGTTCTCCTTTGACAAATTCCATGCCCTGTGTGATTAATTTTTTAATATTTCCCATAGGTACCATGAACAGAATGGAATCACAGCCTTACATAACTTTAAATTTGGGCCACTCTTTATGAGGCTGTGTTATGAGCTAGACCTTGAAAGACCTGCAGTAGAACTTATTAAAGATCAGGTAAATCCCCTATATATATTAAAAATATTGTTCTTATTATTAGTCAAATATGAGTAATGGTAAGCTACACGTGAGCCTTGCTGAGCTGATAGACTTGACGATGTGTTGCCGTATATGACATTAATGTAGGTGTGCAGATTACATGGCTTTTATTTTAACACAGTAGTTAAAAGGAAATTAAATCTTAGTTTGATTGGTTATTTTATTTCAGTATGATTGCATCATTTGATTAAAAATTGAATTACAAGTATTGATGAAAGAATAATTACTTAAATTATTATAGCTGATGCATGTTTTCCTACATCCTGTGTTGCACTAAGTCTTGGAAATGAGCACTTGTGAGTTGTTCTGTGGTAGTCCTCTGAAATTCCTTGGATTACTTGCACCAACATTCACTGTGTTGCTCTGTACTTCAGTCTCTCTCTGAGCCCTATAGAGGTGGTAGGATACTCATCAGCTCAGGAGCTTGGCCATTTTAGTGCTGAAGAAACTGAAGGACTTGTTTCTGAACATCTCTAAAATCCTGTGTGCGCTATTATGGCAAGACAATAATCAGGTCCAGTGTGTGCAATAATGTTGTGACTTCAAAAATCTCTGACAACCAGTGAAAATCTCGCTGATTTTTATTCATTAAGACATAATATATGTCTAGCCAGAAATGGGAGAAGTCTTGCTACTATTCTGAAGTTAGGCATGTGTAAGAAAGGGTATATGTCGTTTTTATTTTGGTTTGAGTTTTTTTAATTGGGATCTGTATCATTAAGACAGGAACTGCTGTACTTCTAGGATGTTATAATTGTTGGATAGTAAAGTACAGTGACACTTCTCCAGATTCTGCTGCAGAAACTTGATTGACACTTCTCCAGATTCTGCTGCAGAAACTTAATACCTCTGATATTTTAATTGTCTATTGCCAGCACACAGTGTGGTTGAAGTGAAACATAAAATTTAATTCCTCTCTCTTCTGCTGGTCTTGCCATCATCACTGAAGCTCTTGTGCTGATGTTTTGATATCGTGATTAGGAAAAAAATTAATTCAATTTTATGGTAGTGGTACTTTACCCCAAAGATATTGTTCATCAATTGGCAAGCTGTCAGCGACTTCTGCTTCCATTGACTTAGAGGTCATTAAAAAAGTGATAGTGGGACTCTCTGGGAAATTTCCATTTAATTTTAGTGAGCTTTTGACCATAACGAGTCACTGGTATTTTAGATGTCATTTGACAGAGATAGACAGTCAGGGAACACAGAGAGTTAAATGCTGAACATGTAAAGATGAGACTTATTCCGGTAGGAAGACCTGCTAAATGCTTTGCACAGTAAGACTTCACTTCCTGACTTTTTTAATGCTTTCTCTATTTCGTCTCCAGAATTTGCGTGGTTTTTTCTCAGACAGTACATCATTCCATATTTTGATGACGATGTTGTTTAAAAAAGGCCATTTTGAAAGTAAGTACTGTATTTGCTAAGGCAAATTAATTTGGGAAGGATGCTTCTCACTGTAAGTGATGTATGTGGTTGGGTGTATATATATATATATATATATATGTATATATTTGCTGATTGGCTATGGTTTTAGATGGCCAAACGTTGTGTAAATAACTGTAGATGTGAATGAGTTGCACTATAGTGTGTAATAAAAATGGAAGGGTCTATTTATTTCATACTTCCCACAGAATTCTTGCCATTCGGGTTCCACAGAACTGTTGTTATCTAAGAGAGCTTTTTCCCCAAACTCTCTTCGCTAAAGTGTTACTTTTCTTTGCTTCGTAAAGATTTTAATATAAGAATAATAGAAGAATAAAACCATGTGCTAGTGTAAACTGAAAACCTCCTTGCTAAGTTGAAAGGAATCCAAATGACCCTGCGTTAAACTTTTTGAATTTTTCAAATAACAGATTTCAGTTTACATTCATATGTTCAAATAAACTTATTGAACTCATACCTTACTGAGTTGTTTCTTCTTTTCAATTATGAGAAGTACAGCCTTAAATTAATGAAGTGAGTAACACTCATATATTTTTAATAGGTGCTTTGGAAGTTCTGGTAGAAATGAAAAAACAAGGTATACCTTTCAACAAAGAAACCTATCTACTTGCAGTTGCAATATGCTATAAACTGGTAAGTATTATGAATGAAAAAGTGATTGAAATGCCTTCTCTATCTCTTCCTTTTTTGGATATTAAATTTTATATTTTTTGGGTGGTTTCCATATTTTCCCTGTCATGATTTTATATCTAGTGCAAGTATTTTAAACATAGGTAAATCCTAAGGTGCTTCGTAGTACGTGATATGGTGCACACACATTGTTTCCCATACAAACTAATGTCACAAAGCAAATCTCTGAAAAGTTGCATGGGCATTGAGGAACAAATTTAGTACAATTTGAGTACCTTAGAGTATTCTCCTCTATCTGCATCTCTTCAGCCTCAGTATTGATTTTATAGTCTTGTTTTCTTAAGGCTTATACATGATATGTTCTTTTTGCCAGACATCCCCCATCCATTTCTCCCCTCCCCCTACAATCAGTCTTGAACCATTTCTATAATTGTACACAAATTTTACAAGGAATAGAGTTGCAATCTGTTCCCTACATGCCTGATGAAAATAGGCAGCTAAATAGAGAAAAGAAATGTAAATGAATTCCTTTAGGTAAAGAGGCAGCCCCTTGAGCTTACCTGTATGTTTAGCTCAAAGAAAAAGAGCATGAGCATGGTAAGAAACTAGAATACGTCAGTTCTATGAGTGTTTTCTTAGAACTGTTTCCCTTTCATAGCAAAGTGAGATCCCAGAACATTTTTTATTTTGATCTTTCTCTCCAGATTTGAGTCAGTTCTGCCGTTTGAATTTTTAATGTGAACCTTTCCCAAACTCATTCGGAAACATTTTTTCATCTTTTATAAAGACCCTAGCTAATGAAAAAAGTTATATCACTAGGCTAAACTCCCTCGGGTTTCTCAGCTAACAGTACAATGAAACTGGGGCATATGTGATAACAAGGACTTAGCCTAAAATGGTACCTCAGCAGTAGTTTATGTGGTTTTTCTGAAATTTTCAGTTCTAATGAATTAAGCCCTTAGGTGTGCTGTAGCTTCTTTCCTAAAATCTTTACAAGTTTTTTTAGCATGGCCCACTGTTAGAACACTGAGGTCCAAGGATGTACAACAGGAATAGGTTCCCGAGTCTTCTTTTTCTTCTACTTCTGGCCCTAAGTATATTTTCAGTGAGAAACTGGCCCATTATTCTACAGAGATGATTCTACACTGTCACCTGATTGGATTGAATAGTCACAATAAATTTGTGGTGCTTTTACACTAAGGTAAAATACTATCAATGGGAGAGTAGGTAGTAACCCTTTATGCACTGAAGAGGATTAGGTAGAGATCTTTTAAAAGCTTAATCTGTTGAATCATCTCTTAGGAGGAGGAGGAGAAAACATGAAGCACAAAGTTGCTTTTTCTCATGATGCCAGATAAGACATGTCAGAAAAAAAACTTGAAATGAAGTATCTTCAAGGTGCAGTACTCAAATAATAGAAATAATGATACTGGTATCATTAAAAGTTTTACTAGATTTTTATCATTCTTGATTTCTTTCGAATAACCTTGCCAGTACAGGAAAATGTACAAGACTTAAAGCTCAGTTTATTTCCAGTGGATAAACAAAGGAATTAATATTTAATCTTTTCACAGAGATATATTTGAGGTCAACTCTAAAACACTTCTAGGATGGTTTAAGTCACTGTAAGGCACTGATATACACTGAGGTAACAGATGGCCTTTCTTTTAGTACAGGAAAGAGATATAGGCCTTTTCATGATAACAAAGTATTTACATAATAATAATCAGTCTTCTGATGGTCAAAATGTTCTAAATTTTCAAAGAACATATTTTAAACCATATTTTGCAGGAATGACACTTTGAATACTATGAACAGAAATCAACACCAAATCTGAGGACTCTTATCCATATTGGTGGTACCATTTGTTACAAAACCTTCCTGCTGCCAGCTTTTAGGTTTGACAGATACTATTTTGTTTGGGTTCCAGTCAGTTCCACTCATAATTTCCGGGGTGAGCAGCATTGGTTTGGAGAGTTGATAGTTTGAGAGGTTGCACACAGCTAAACTCACTGTCTTTTACTATCGCCTGTTGAAAATTCCCAACAATAATGGAAGCCTTCTGTGTTGGAAAAAGGTAAATGTCGAAGCTGTAATATTAGAATATATACTTTGGAAACATTTTTCAAGAATTAGTCCTTAAGAGAGGCTGAATGTTCATATTCACATGTGCACAGATTTCTTTAGTGGAATGGTACTTAATAGTTCAAAGCTTAGAAAGTGTTTATTTTCAGTAACTATCTACTGTAGCTTTTAGAATAAAGTAACAATAAATTCCTGATATAATAATATAATAATTCCTGATTTAGAAATTATTTGAAAGTGAAAATGTCTGTTAGTTTAGTATACTGCTGAGGCTGTTTAATCTGTTGCAGAAGCCCAGATGGTTAGGGCAAGGTATAGTTGTTAAAATAATAGAAATTTTTTTTACCCTCCTGTGACCTCTGTCACTTTGAATATCGTATTTTGATGTTGTGTTTCTCGAAAAGTGCTGCACTGAATCTGCTTGGTTGGGTTCAGATACATACTGCCTTGTGATTGTATAGTATGCTGACTTCTGAATACCTTCTGAATATGATTGCAGGTGTTTATAGTCCTTCCAGATAACCAGAATAACAAGTAGAACTTCCTTTTATATTTTTATGCAGGACAGCCCAGAGTCTTCCAAAATCACAGTGAGACTGCTTGAAGAAGCACAGCTAAAAGGTGACACGGTACCACTGCGAGCATACTGCATTGCAGTGGCAACTGCTCTCAAGCAGGTACAGTCTCATTGTTTTTGGTTGTCCCTGGGTCTCTGTAGAGAGAGAGATGGTCTCTAGTTTTGTTGCAGATAGTGAAAAGAAGCTGACATGGAGAAAATATAACTCCGTAACAGCTTCAAGTATTGGGGCTTTTAGGCTCCTGAAACAATAGGATTATAGACAGTGCTTGCACAAATGGAATAGGAAAGTTTGTAAATTTAAACACATGTCTTGAGTCTAATGCACATGTATTTTGTGACAACACCATCTAGAATATTAAAAAATTAGAGAGGCCAACAGGTTAGGTGTCACCATTGATCTAGTCTTGCAGATACTGCTATTTAGTGGTAATTTCCTTTAAATAGAATTAAAGTGATAACTTAAAGTATTTGCACAATCATCTCTTTTAAATGTTTGTGTTGGGAGGCATACTCCAAGGCTTTGATGTGTCTTTCCCTGCTGCCGGGGCAGTGGACTTTCTCCACAACATGTTTCTGCCTGGGGAGGTTTTGCTATACCTCATATGCCTAACTACTGCTATAAAGAGGCTCTGGGGCAGCACAAGGTGAAAAATGGAGCAGGAGAATAACTATTAGGAAATTCTAATCTTTGGGATAAACTGTAGATTTCCTCTGCGATTTATTTGTTTATACAGGTTGGGTATGCCTGAACCTTCTCTGTTTCATGTTAAAACACAGGTCAGAGATGCTGGAAGTGCTATAAATTTGATCTTACAAATTTGAATTAATGGAGTGGAATTGTTAGAAGTTTCTGTGCACTATGTGGCCTTTTATGCTTTATCTCTGTGAATGGAGACACTGAAAAACAGCATAATTGAAATAAGTTTATTCATGTGTACAATGGCATGATGAAATTCTTGTTTTGCAAATGGAATAATGCTCCACATTACGTGTAATTGTTCCTTAAGCTGAATTCATTTTGACAGCATTTCTTTCTGTAAATAAGATGTTTCTTGATCCCATGTAACATTGCTAGGTCTAGTAAATGTCAGTGTAACATTTACTGTCTTTACAAATCAACTGATGACATAGATACAGTACTGTAAATGTGTATGTCCAAAAGGTTAGAAGGGCTGGGCAGGACAAATACACAGAGTAGCATATGCTTCACTTCATTACTCTGACATGTGTTGAACTGAGCGTGCGTGTAAACCTTACATCTTTTAGGTGATCTCATGCTCAATGGTGATTACGTGTGACAGACACACACACAGAGTACTAAAGACCCAGATGACATGGGAACTCCAGCATGGGATATTCCTTTTGCAGGCTGGGTGCTGTTTGGTGTCTATGGGTCTTGGTAAAGGGGTTCTAGATGCTGCGTTGTGATTTATTGAAAAGTTGTGAAGGACCGTTGCTTTTCTTTTTATCATGCAAGTTTTTGACAGGTGTATGACTATTGTTTTATTATTTATGATTCCTTCCCAGAACGATGTAGCACAGGCTAAATTTTATTGTTCCCAGATAATGAGAACAGAAAACAAACTCTACAATAATCTTAAAGTAAGTATGCTTGCCTTCTATCAAAATCTTGCAGAGTATGCTACACTGGCCAATAAACTCCCAAGTGCAAAGTAACAGAAGACCAGCCTCTTACTAGCACAGGCATGTGCTTGTAGTGTTGCTGAACTTGTTTTTGAGCCAACAGATAATTTCTGTCTGTTGGCTTACTTGCATTCTGAACTGTTAACAGTCTCCACCTACTTTTTAAAGTCACTTCCTACCATAGGTGGGAATGTAAAGTAGACCAATCCTACATTTGTGAGCATAGACCCATGAACAATTTATAGTTATGATTTCTGCTTTTTAACTCTTAAAGATTTTAAAAGCCCAGCTCCAAGTAAATGCTCTGCTCACTTCAGGCCTCCTTCAGCCCTGCAAACTGTATCCACATGTTGTATATACAACAATTTTTTTCTCTAGTTGTGCAGTCTACAATTTGGGAGAAAGTCTGCATGTGCCATGTAAGTGACCTCTAAACTATGGTGAAAACCACTTTATTCAAGAGCAGGTAGTGCAGTTCCATCAGAGGAGCTTTACCTCAAGCCTCACCATTCCTTTTCAGGTCCTAGCTGGTAAAAAACCCCAAACATTTGATGAAATTGATCCTTCCATCTCTCTTTGCAATGGATGTTTTTTTCTCAGTGCAACATCTGGAAATGTATTTTGCCCTGCTTTACTTCATGTCTTCTTCAAACGTTTTAGTAAAAATTTGCTTTCTTGTGATACATGCTATTTGTGTGGTGTGTTTTTATATTTTTAAGGTCCTTGTCCAGCTCAGATCTGGTTTGCTAAAAGAAGTAATAAATACATTAGAGGCAGCAGTGGAAGTAGATACTTCTCCCTTTGTGAAAAGAACTGAATTTTCTGAGCAGGTGGTAAGTATGCAGTCATGGTACTGGGCTGAGCCATGACAGTGGTGGTTCACCTACAGAGCTTTAGGTGTCTGAGTTCGCCCTGCTGTAGTTGTTTGGGTTCTGATGCAATCTGATGCCAAAGCAGCTGGCTGGCTTCCTCTGCTCTTGGACAAAACACTTAGCCCTTTGCTTCATTTTTTGTTGTGGATCTTGCTTCTCTAGAAGCTCATATTGCATCTGAATGTAGATTACACTGTCCCTAGTGGCATTAAATGATTTAATCCCTTGCCTCCTATGCTATTTTTATTTCATGTGAGATGAGAATAAAATTTCTGGTTACAGCGATATTGTTAGGTTGGTAATATATGAAAGACCTGTGATGCTATAAAGGGAAGTGTGATATGGGAAATAGTAGCTTTTGCTATTTAACTGTATTTTACTTTGAAAACTGTTTTTTACAGTCTTGAACAATAAGAAGGCTTCCTTCAGAGCACATCTGTAGCCCGTCTCAGTTTGTCAGTGTTGCTGCTGTTCCTAAAGCTTATTTAGTATATTCATTTTGGATGTGTCTGTAGAACAAGACATTTAAGACTGTGTTAATAATTAACTACTTAGTCTCTTACTGCTGCCTATTAAACAAAATTAATAATAGTATGCAAAATAATAAATATTAGGAGAAGGGGAGAGCCAGCCTTTCAAAACATGGCCCATATATATTAATTGCCATGTTGAAAAGAAATTCTTTAAGCAGCATTTCTTTTTGTAAAGTCGTTGCCATAAATGTTGCAAGTGGTAGTGTTGTATTTTGACTCTGGGAAGTTTTTAGCTGCCAAAAGAAGACTAAGTATTAGTCCTAACTGTCTCCTTCCACAAAGCTTCATTGATAATAATATTTTTAAAGAGCTCATACTCTTGTGGATGGCGAAGAGAACTTCTCAGTCTTCTATAGACTGAATTTTAAGGATTTGTACTGTACTGTGCATTTACGAAGATAATAACAATAATTTGAATTGTGCTGATCTGGAAAGTAGATTCCAGGAAGCAGTAATGTTTCCTGGATTTAAATAGAAAATAATTGTGTTTGTCTCTAGGACTGAAAATAGAATTGTACAACTTCAAGGAAGTTTTAAATCTAATAAAATCTCTAATAGATAACCAGTGCCTTTCCACCATTTTGTGGTGACGCATAATGTACTTTTCATAAAATCCTCATGAGTCATTGTCTTAGCTACCTGTCTTACACTGTGTACTTTTTTTTGAGTTACTGTTTTTCTTCATTGTGGTAGTAGAATGAGAACTCCACTCGCTAAACTGTAACAATCTGTGATTTTCTCTTCCTTAGCTGGCTGCAGTCAGGGAAAAGATGGAAGAAAACCCTGACCTTTCTGTCAAATTAGGAAATATTTATACGAAACTACAGGCTTCAGGACGGATAACTATGTGCACACTGGAAGACATGCTTTTCCAGATTCCTAGTTCAAAGAAGACCACTGCAAAGCTTTTAAATCAGAAACAATTGGGCTATCAGGGTGCTAATCCACTTTGGTCAAATCTGTTGTTAGAATAGTTCAGTATTTGATGCCAAACTGAACTGCTGATAGCAGTTCAGTTATCTCTTATTATCCAGGTTCAAATAAAATGTCTTCCCTTTTTTACACAGTGAGCAGTTTTAAGATGTTTGTGTAAATTTCATTTTAAATACAGGTCATGTAGCTTCTGTGTTTAAATTTTGATCCTAAAAACAAGCTGCAACAGTGGGTATTTGTGTGTTTTTCAGAACTGGGAGTGATGGAAAGGTTTGGCTTTTTCCTTAGGCTCTTGTATCAGGATTTTCCTATGCTAAATATTATGTAAGTGAAAGGATGGAAGCGAGCAAAGCAGGCAAAATGATATGAGTATCTGACCTGACTGGGGATCATGAGAAGAAAATTTGATGTTCATCGGATGTACTGTTCTGACTGAAAGGATAGAAGCAGGCAAGAGTCCAGATAAAAGAGCATTGAAGTGCTTGAACTGTTAATTCAAAGTCTGTAGATCTCAAGACAATCAGGGGGAAGCAAGCATCTTTTGTTCACTTTAATATCTTTTTCTTCTAAAGAAATATATTAGTATTTTTTTCATATCAACTGGGATCATGGAAATGCTATGGGGGATTAGCATGGTAACCAAGTGGTTGCTTACTCACTTGAAGAACAGAAGTCACTCTCAGACGTCACAAATTGCTTCCTTCTCATTTTCTGATATTAAGATTCCTAGGATAATCTTGATGCAAATTTGCAACTAAGTAATAAAAAGTTCCCTAGAGCAATTATGATCACATTTTTAGCTATAATTAAACCATCTGCATAGTTTACACTATTTTTTGATTGAAAAAAGTATAAAGAAACTTCACTTTGTCCATCTTTAATGACTCAAAAACAAATGTGCTTGACTCTAGCCATAAAAAGTTGTTTGTGTCTGTGAGTCCTGTGTGCCCAAAAATCTGAACTCGCTCACCATCTGGAATAGAAGGAATTGGAAACAGGTATACCTTGGATAGCATTCATGTGCCTTTGGGTGACTTAGCATGTGAAATGATGAACATGTTGATAAGAGAACTTGGCAGTCTTGTGAGCACAAGACTAGGTTGAACTCAGCTTGGTACTTGCTAAGTTGGGCTGCATTATCTCTCCTCTGCCTTCTGTTTATTTATTTTGTCTCTGTCCCACTCAAGCAAATGTCAGAACTCAGAATGTATTTTCTGTGAATAAATACCTGCATCTATATCACTGTAGCCACTGAGACACAAGAGACAAGAACTCATCCATGTTCTAATACAAATGTGGCTACAGCTGTTGGGATGTTTCCTTCTGAAGCTCTAACTCTGTAACTTATTTCTTTCGTCGCAGTGTGTCCTGTTAATATTTAATATGTACAAAAACTGTTACAAAGTAGATGAAATTTCATGCAAGTGAAGAATAATTTGAAGTGTGTATCATACTTCTGTGAATCGTGTGTACTCTTTTTATGATTGGTGGCAGAGACTAAAGTACTACATACATTAAGAACACAGCTATTACTTTTTCTGTAATATTGTGTAGCATGTAATTCCACATGTAATTTTCCCTTCATTGAAAATTCTTTCAGCATTTCTAGTACTATATGGACTCTTGAGAAGTTTCCAATCTTTTCTCCACAAATAAATTTGATATGAGATTTATAAAGGCTGCTTGCAGTGTGGCAAGGATCAGTGGCAAAAAAATATAAAGGAATTAATTACTATTCAGTTTACTTTGTTGTCCAGTGCATTTGGGACAACTGTTTGGTGTTAAAAGTGTATACATGCCATGTTTTTAAAGGCCATGAAAGACAGTTTGACCCATTTAGCCTTACCTAGCAAATACAAAAGGTCAGTTCTGTTTTTAATTTCCTAACTTCACACTTTAAAACTTGTATTAATTGCAAGATGTTGCTGCATCCTAGGACTGTGCATGTGTAGTTGTTCATTCTAATCAGAATTGTTTAGGTTCCTAAATAAGGCTGCATCCTACCTGCAACTGAAGTAATCATAACTTCTATTAAAATTGTCAATATACTTGATGTTTTCTGTTCTTTTTTCTCCTGACTCCTTTTCTCCAGAGGTTTATTTACTCGAGAGTACTAAGTAGATGTTTTTAAAAAAGAAATAACATCTTTTTCTTGCGAAAGAAAGGAGATGCACTTAACTGACAGTACTTCAATAGAAGAGGAAAGCAGGGACTTAAGATTAAAGGATAGGTTCAAAGAAACATAAGATTCAGACAACTAAAATTAGAATATTGACTGTTGCTGTCGAAGTGTTGTAGAAGACTGCTAACATTTTCCCTTAGGAAAAAAAACCGGGAGAAATAAGCAAGTTCTAGTATTTATGCAGCTGATTTCCACCTAAGTCTAATTTGTGACATAAAAGTCCCAGAGGCTGTTATTTGGGTAATCTTGGATTTGGGTGGTTATTTATGGATTCATCTTTTGGTGCAGCAAGATTCTAAGCACACTGGCTTTTGTGTTGAAGAGTCTTCAGTCTTACGCCTAGTTGAGTGTACTTAGGTAGTGTTGACTCCTGGTATCCCAGCACTCAAGATCAGGAACTCAAACTTGTCTAAAAATAAGCAAATACTTAGGGGTGTTGCTGGATTAGAGTGGCTGGAATGTCAAGGGCTGAGTTGCTAGACAGCTCTCATGGAGACAGCCTCAGAGAATAGGAGGTGCACTGTTACTGCAATTGATACTCAGTTTTTATCAATGTTGAACCTTGAACTCAAATTTATGCTGAAAATAAATTAGCTTTTATTTTAACAGTCTGAAAAAACCCCAAGGCATTTACATTTCAGAGTGAAGTGATGCATTTTTTTTCCTCTAGGTTCATAGCAAGAGATTCTGTAGGAAGTGCTGCTTAAAATTTTATGTGTTGTAAGCAGCTGTGGTGAGGATCTTTGCAGTATTCTTGTGTGGAAAAGGATTGTTCTTTATCATACTCTTCGTCTTGTAAAGTGATACATGAGTTTTGTGCATGCCCTTGCACTGCAGCAGCCTTTTGGAACAGTGATCCAGGAGACAGCAGGTGGCGTTTCTTGACCATACTCTCGTGCCAACATTATTTCTAGGGATGGCCTGCAGTGTCACTTATGTAAGGGCAGGGCAGAATTAATGGTTTGCCCTATGTTTGATGTGTGCCATCTTAACATGGAAAATCCAGGCAACAGAAAGCTGCCTCAAATTGTTAGTGATGGTTGGCAATGACAGAAAACCTAGAGATTTACAGCACTTACTTTGAAACTTACAGCATTTATTAAAATAACTCATCTCTGTCAATCATCACAGAACGATGTTTACAGCATTCTGTGGAAATCCTAATCAATTATCTAGATAACAGGCTGTTGGTGTTGCTTCTTGTACACCAATGTCAATTACAAAATCTAACATTGCTCCTAAGAGAATTTACATTTCTTACACTGCTATTAAGAAAAAGTTGGACCACAAACTTTCTTTCCACAAACATCTTGTGTCTTGGTGAGGAAGGTTCACCTTTTTTTTTGTGCTTCTCTCGACTTAATTTTCTTCTTCAACACAATAGAAAGGAAGGTGAAAGGCTTAGTCATTACAGGAGAACTCAGGAATGCTTTCAGGCTTCAGAAAGAGCATTCACATATTTAATGAACCTTCTAAACAACTCTAAATAACATGAAACAAGTTCTGTTAGAAGTTTGCAGCAGTATAGAAAGGAGGCAGACCTACCATGCATAGGTCTAAAGATACACAACTTTCGGGTTTTTGGGCTTTTTTTCAAGGCTGCTTCAGGTTTGCATCCTTCTAAAAATTTTGATTGTGAAATAAGAGACTTGTTTGTTTTTAAGCTACATCTGTTTTGGCTCCTTGCATGTGCTTCTGCTGTCCCATTCTCCATAGAATATGTTATTAAAAGAAGATGTCATTTACCACCTTCATCTTCTGTTTCTTTCAACCTGCTGCTTATGAACAGCATTTTCAACTTAGCAAATGTGTGGTTGCCTACTCACAGACTACTTTCAAGTAATTTCATTTTCATCTGAATGATAAATTTAAGCAGCGAGATGAGCTAGAGAGACTTAAAACTGCTGCTACTGGTACTACTGGTCCCATGTTTGGAAAAGTGAAATACAATGCTCTTTTCTTACCTGTCTTGGCTTCTGCTGTTGAAAATAGCTGGCTATAGACCTTCAGGGGCTTTTGTTGTGACTTTATGCAGTTGTCTGGAACTCCTTATAATTCCAGAAGCATGTGCAGTAGATAGTCTGAGATAGTCTGACTTCAACTTCCCAAGCGCAGATGCTGTTTTTTTTCCAAGTACAGATGCTCTAACTACAAACCCTTGTGTATGGTAACCTTGTGTATCATCAACTAAAGTTAGCTTCGAAGTTCTTGTGCCAAGCAGCAACTCAAAATAAATGCAGGAGCAGTGATACTAGAGGGAAGTTGAGTTAGGGCCCTGTGCACAAATCATATGTATGAGATCAAAGTCAGCTGGTCCTGAACCTTGTGTCTGCATGAAGGGTAAAAGCCCTCTGTTAGTTAAAGGAGACTCCTTCCTATGGAGATTAAGGCAGTGATCCAGCAGCCAGTCTACAACATGTGGAGCTGCTGCCCAGCCTTGTTTATCCTTTGGATTTTTAGCCTTTGCACATCTTCCATGTAGGCACCTGCAATGCTGCTGAGAACAACCTGGAATGCATTAAGGATGGCTACAATTGAGAGAAGGGTAAAGGGCAAATGGAACAGATGATGTCCATCAGATCCTGACCAGGAGAGAGGAAAAAGTCTAAGTAGACTAAGTGTGACAGAGTGTGGAAGTTTGGCTGCATAGCTGGTCTGACAGATAGGCCTTTGGCTTCTGTGACCAGTCAGAGCAAGAGCTGGTGGTTGGGTTGGAGTATGCTTGACAAAGCAGGTCTTTGCAATCAAGCTTCCTAACCTATTGGGGATGGCTTTGCATAAGGTATGCCAGGAAGGATTTCCTCAACACGGGGAGGCCTGAGGATACAAGAGAGAAAGTGAATCTGAATGTGGCAAATAGCATGACAAGAAAGGTTCTCTCACTTCCCTGTGAAAGCAGTGCAACTTTGGACCCATCTCGAATGCTTGTACACAAATCTGTGAGCATAAGGAATGAGCAGGAGGATTGTGAATACACAACTGTAGATCTAATACCTTGTTATCCTTGGTAGGATGGATCTTATGACTATAGCCCATCCCTATAGTGGAGGGATGCAGAAAAGACAGGATGGGTAAGGATGGCAAAGAGGAGAGGTTGAGCTGTGTATAAAGCAGGTGCAGGGATTTTGCCTTGGGACAGGTGATGAGTGAATAGGTTATGAGCTTTGGGTAAGGATCAGAGGACAGATGAGCACAGGGATGCTTCAATGGTGATCTGCTACATCGTGCCTGATAAAGAAGGTGTGCATAGGCGTGCACACACACATGGAAACACAGGTGAAGCATTCTTTAAGCAGCTGGAGAAAGTCTCAGTCACAGACCCTAGTTCCTATCTGGACCTTAGTCACTCTGCTGGGAGGACAGCATAGCTGGACACAATCAGTCCAGGAGATTTCTGGAATGTACTGAGGGTAATATCTTGGTGCATGTGGCAGAGTAACAGGTAAGGGAAGATGCTCTCTTTGACCTGTGACTCATAAATGCTCAAAAATTGCTGGATAGTGTAAAGGGCAGCATTGTTTGCATTGCTGCAATAACAATAACTCTTGTGGAATCAAGAGTGTGAAGATCCTAGGAAGAGTAATCTAGACCCAAAACTTCAAAAGAGTAGGTTTTGGTATGTTCAGGGACTTACCTGCATGTTCCTGTAGGAAACTGCCCCAGGAAGAAAATATCTGGGGTGAACTGGTTGATCTTCCGAGGCAACATTATCAGAAAAATGGAATGATCTGTCTCAATGTTTGTAAAGTCAAGCAAGCTGGCAAAGGATCACAATGAATACAGAGCTCCTGACTGAGCTCAAACACAAAAAAGATGTGCACAGAAGGTGGAAGCAGGATAGGCTACCGAGGAGGAATGCAAAGACGTTGCCTGTGCGTTCAGAAATGCTGTCAGTAAAACCAAAGCTTAGTTGCACTTGAAACTAGCAAAGAATTTGAAGGATAGCAAGAAAGACCTTTTCTGAGGATATTGGCAGCAAAAGAAAGTTTGAGGATAATATGGCCCTACTGGTCAGTGGGACAGGGGAACTAGTGACAAGTGAAAGGGAGAAGACTGAGGCATTCTGCCTTTTTGCCACCAAGCTTGTCTGACAAAAAGAGGTTATGAGAACTGGCTTTGCTCAGCCTTAAGAGAAGGCTTAGAGAAAACCTAATTCCTGTCTACAGAATCCTGATCAGATGACAAAGAGATGGTGGAGCTAGATTATTTTCAGAAATGCATGATGATATGATTGGGCACAATGGCCACAAGTTGAAACATGGGGCATTCTGGTCAAGTACTGGGATAAAAGAAGTTATCAGGAGGGAGATCAAATACTGAAAGAGTTTACCCAAAGAGGATGTAAAATCTCTATTCTTGGAGGCCTTCAAGACTCACCTTGAACCTGAATATGGCCCGAAGAAACTTGACCTGATTAGACCTTCTCTTGTGAGAAACAAATGAACATTTCATATTCACAGAATGCCATGATGCAGCTGTCTTCTACACCACTGAACAGAAAAGGTTCTCTTTTTAGTCTCTTGGATGCTCAGACTGGTGATTACCTATCCTGGCCCCAATGCTCACTTGATATATCAAGGTTGTGAGTTACAATAGAAGTTTTGGACTCAAACCTGGCCCTTTTCTACCCAGAATATAGCAATGCAAATTCCCAAATCATGTGACAACCATGTGCTCGACAAATAGTCACGATGGTAGCTAGGCTGCCTAATTCCATCACAAGGGTATATATGCTTGCAGCAGCCAGTCCCCATGTCCACTCCAGCACCTGGCCCAGAAAAGAAATTGCCATCTTAGTTTACATGAAGCTGTTTTCTTCAAGGTTTGTATTCTAGATAGACTGTAAGTTGAACCTTTTGTCTCCAGT